TTCAACTACCGCCAGTTCTCTCTCAAGCTTAGTGCGTTCCGATTTTTCTCCCTGTTGTGTCTGATTGTTAGTCTGGTTTCGGTTTGGGTCATGTTTTTCCTGTCTTGATTGTTTTCCATTTCCTTGGGCACAGATCCTGGAGCGGTTCTTCTGCGTCCTTGCTTGCTTTGCCTTTGTTCAGAGGACCGAGTTATCTCGCTCTCTTTTTCTCTACATATTTGAAGGTCGTGTATTCAGAAAACTCTTCTTCTTTCTTGAGTATGTCATATTTGTTTGTTGATGCGCTGATTCCAGCAAATGCGCCTTGCTTATGTGTCCTCTCTACGTGTCTTAGGCAAGCTGTGTGAATGTTGAACAAATGTTCCCTTTCCCTCTTGGCCTTCTCAATGTACACTTGCAGCCATTGAGGAGACCTATTGGGGGGGGGGGGTCTGGTCGTTGTTAGGGGCCGATCCGTATGAGCTTTTGTTGCCGTCACTGTCTTGGTCCATAATTTCTTCCGAGTCTTTTGATGGTTCGTTAACTATTGTGTCCTTGGTTGGAGCCAATTAGTGTCTGGGTCATTTGCCTTTCTTCGTTTCAGGTCTGATCGCCCTTCCTTCACGTCAGGTTTGTTCTCTAGTGACCGTTTGTTTTCAATCTGCATCTTTATCAAATTTTGGCCGTTCTCTTGCTTTCGGAGATTGATTATCTCTTGGATTTTTGTGTGAATTTTCTCTCGTTCCTTGCCATATTCCAGTTCAGCTTGCTCCCTTACTAACTCCAGATCCCAAAGCAGGTCTTCCCTCGCCTTTTCCTCCCTGATGACCTGAGAGTCGTTCAGGGGGATTGCATTGATCTTCGTGGGGTTCCCTGCTTCTTTTCCTGTAGCTTTCTTCTGCCATCTACTATCCGCTGGAGGGAAAATGTACGACTTTTTTGTTGATGGTTCCTTGTCCGAGTAGACCCAGTCCGGTTCGTCCAGCTTGTCATCGAAGACCCATCCATCATAGGAGGGGTCTACAATGAACCACGTACCCAGCGCTTCCTCTACTTCCACCAGCATGTTGGGGTGGAGTTTTCGTTCTTTTTGCTGTTTCGGGAATTTCGGGCAATTGGGGTGGGTGTCGAGGTGGCCTCTCTCCCTGCATCTGAAGCATATCGGTGAAGATTTTGTCGAGACGTCAATGAGCAGATTCCTGTCTTGAACAGCCAGCTTCCATTGCGGAGGAAAGACTGGTGGGTCGTCAGTCTTCACCTCAAGGATTGCAGTCATCATGCTGCAGTGGGGGGCTAGAAAATCTGGTGTTGGCAGAATCCATTTCAGGATTTTGTTCGTTGGATACTGTCGCTTCAGCCTGTCGACAATAAGACCATGGAATCCTGGTTGTATCCTATCAAATTGGACCCATAATTGCTCTCTCATCAGTGTCTGTTTGTAAGAAACTGTGTAGGTCGGATTCAGGCGGGAGTTTGTCTGCTTCTTCCATGTTGTTATTGTGCAGATTGACCCATTACAATTCCTTGATTTCATGTCAGCTGCGATTTGTGCGTGCTTTTCGTGATTAAACATCACCATTATGGATTTTCGTCCCATATTCTATAGGGAAAAGGCTTCGTTGGCTTTCTTCAGTCTTTCTTCGTTCTTTAAAGTTGCAATCACCCACTTCCTTTTTTCTGCCGGCATGAGGTCAGCTCTTTTCTTGCGAAATTGAAAACAACCCCATGCTTTTCATATAGTTCATCCAGTTCATGCACCTTCCCTTCCGGGTATTTCCATACAACGATTTCTTCTTCCGGCCCTTGTGGGTTGGTGTATGTTTCTTTCATTCGAATGCCTTCCACTTTTGTGCTCTCGATGAGGAACTTCAGTGCATCATTATCGATCACACTGGCTGTTGATTTGGATGTTTGTGGGGTTCGCAATGTGGTTGTTGAGTTTTGCAGCATTTGTTTGAATGTTGCAGCCATACGGCGGTTACCAGGGGCCTGCATTTTGTTGCCTGAGAGGTCCTATGTTTCTCCCTTTCTGTTTTCTCTCTCTTTCTCTTCTCTCTTTCTTTTGTATTGGTACTGGGGTGGTTAGCAGGGTGTGAGTTATAGGGACGCGGGATAGTGGAGTTGTGAAGGTTTGTGAGCCGAGTGGGATCTGCGACTGGGCTACGAACAGGGTGTGATTTTTAGAAGTTATAGGGGTTAGGGAGGGGGGAAGGGTCAATATCAGCAGGTACGGGCGAGATAGTGCATGTCAAGAGATGGGAGGGGAGGGTTCCAGCAAGCTGGGGTACGGGTGAGAGAGGGGAAGGGTGTCAGGAAGGCAGAGCGGGTCTTTCGGTTGGGTTGAGATGGGTTGGTAACATGCTTCGAGCCAGGGGTAAGAGGAAAGTTGTGGTCTGTGTAGAGGGGATTTGGTAGTGAGATGATGGGGGGGGGTGTTTGCGATGATGAGTATGGCAAGGAGTCTAAAGAAAAGTACTGGTATAGGGGGGGGGAGACGCTGCTAGACCTACCGGCTTTTGGGGGCGGGGTTGTGAGCTGAAGGTAGGGTGAATGGGAAGTGAACTTGAAACTCACAAAGGAGGGAGGGGGGGTGGGGGATCCACTACGAGAGGAGGTTAAAGGCGGTGGTACATGACAGCTAGACGTGGATGGGCTGTCTCCGCTTTACAGGCAGAACGGCGTTGGGGTGGTTCAACTGGGGTAGGCCAGTAGGGTGAATATTGTGTTGGAGTGGATTGTTGGAGAGGATCCGGGTAGGAGTGGAGAATGATATTCTCGTCCCTGTGGGGTGTGTTCAGGTGAGGTATCAGAGGTATCCGTGCCCCTGAGGGGGGCTAGATGGGGGGGGGAAGGAGGTGAAGGGATGACTGTCAGCTGGTGGGGGGGGACTAGGGCCGTTGCGGACTAGGGATGAGCGGGGTGGACGGGCTTTGTCAGTATTCTGGAATATTCAATGCGGGAGGGTGGGAGGGGAAGAGAGGGAAATGCACTTTTCTCGCTTCCACTGGTAGATTCGCACGCTGGGGATTTCCTCCTTACAAGGTGATCGTTCATGCCTTCACTTGGTGGAAGGTGTCGGCCAGATGCAGCTCGTACTAATGCTTGTGCGTTGAGCTCACATCTAGCTGTTGGTAGAACTTCCAATCGATGCTGTCGGGGTCGCTGTCGCCTTTTATTCCGCTGCTGATCCTCTTGTGTGCTCTCCAAGATCCTTCCTCCTGTATCTCAAGGCTGTCGTTGGTGTGTTCACTTGGTAGGGGGCTCCGACCGGATACAGAATGTGGAGTGCTCGTATGCAATACAGCAACCAAGTTGCCCTTGTCGTGTTCCGTTGGAAGCCTAGGCACGCGTGGCGCTTGCTGGGCTTGTACGTACTTACGAGGGGCTATGGCGGTCTTGCTAGGGCGCTTTCTCGTCGTCTTGCTTGGCGGCCTTCGTCGCTTCCGGTTCTAACGTACTTGCCCGCGTGGGCGCAGAGGGCCACGAGCGCTAAAGGGCTGTGGGCATTTGTTTCTTTCGAGTTGAAGATTTGCTCTTACATTCCCATTCCTCGTGTGGGGTTTCCTAGCGACTTTCCCGTTTGGTAAGCACTATCTCGATGATCTTCATTTTGGTTCTCTTCGTCCTTAGCTTCCTCTGAATCTCATCAGGATAACTGCTGTAGAATATGCAACTCTCAACAAACATAGCAGTCAGTATTTCATAAACTAGCAGATTGTGAGGCGCTGCGCCTCAGTGGTGCCTGGCAGGGGCTACTCGTGCAAAAGGGGACCCGGCCCTAAGTGAAGGCTGGGCATGCAATTTCCGCGACATGCAGTCCCAGTCAGGGTGCCGGTGCCTCCAGGAAACAACAAAAGGAAAGGAGGCCGCAACATTTGGGACGTTGGGGGATACTGGCTCGTAGCTCCAGCATTGCACAAGCGCTAGCGGCCAGTCCCCTGAGCCTTGATGAGGAGGAGGGAGGAGCAGCTGCAGTCAGCTGCTCCTGCTTGGCAGGAGCCATATCTGCGCCAAGGGAGGAAGGCGGGCCACTGGTATGAGGGTGATCAGGGGAACAAGGACAGCAGTGGGGACTGGCAGTCTTACCTGGCAATGGCCAATGAGCACACTTCCGGTGATAAGACTCTGCCGCATTGTCGGGCATGATGACAGAGAGGACAGAGAGTGAAGAGCGAGAGAGAGAGAGAGGGAGGGAAGTAGACTGTGTAAATAGGGAAAGTGGGGAGGTAGTATAGGCTGCCACATCATCTGGAACTGCTGCTATTGTTATTGACGGAACGTGGTGAGAAGTTCGGCTTTCTTTTATCATGCGACTTTGGTGTCAGTATGTGATCAACTGGTTGGAGGGGGGTAGGGGGAGGTGCAAGCGACTGGCCAAAGATGCTCGGCACAAGCATCGCCGGTTTCCCCCGTCGGCAATGCCTGATCACCCTGCATCATCGTGACGAGGGGCTGATACAAGCCTTGCTCTCGCACCACTGCTGTGCCGCAAACCTACCCCGTGGGCTGGGGAGAGTTCCAGGTTTGGTTGGTGTTCCCCTGTACTATACATAGAGTAACGAGAGGACGAGATAGAATATATGCAAGCGAAGATTGAGAGAAGAATATAAACTACTTTTTAAAAAAAATTCGCATGATAAAAGAAAGCCAACTTCTCGCCACGTTATGTCAATAACAAAGTTTATCGGCTTGGTAATTCTAGTTTCGACTTTGCTCATGAATGCTGCTGTGCTTTGAGTCTTTCGGTGCTGGAAAATTTGTATTCTCATTGCTGGTTCTTTGCAAATTGTTCTTGGAAGTCAAATGTTGAGAACTATTAAACAATAAATAAAGCCTAATAATTATACACTTAAATTATAATGACTTTTATACTAGTATGACTCAATTGGATGATTCACACAACGTGAACATGAGTGCATTCCAATTTTCCATCTTTTGTGGTGGTTGTTTTTGTCACCAGTCTCCGATCAGGGAAGGGTCAACGCGAGATTGAGAAATTCACAATACAGAGGTGGTTATTGTTGAGGTCATCATATGGCATACAATTTGTGTTTGTCAGGGACAGGTCGCCTGTCCTTCAGCTCAGCTCAAATTGCACCTCAGTGGTGGATGCGCTGAAGGCATTTTCGAGTCTGGGGGGCCCATCGCTGAATGTGACATGTGGAACTGACGGTAACGAAACTCTGTGGTTCATAATCGACTCTGCGTGGAACAATATGTATCCAGAGGAATATGAGATTCAGGCTTCATTGGTAAGCCTAGCGAGTCCACTTTTGCCTGTTCCAGCTGAAGTCAAGGCAGACCTGACTTTTACAAGATTGCAACCATTCCGCGCAGATGTTTATGGGACATTCAGCCTCTATCAAACGACCGAAAGCAAGAGAGTCTCCATACCAGCTGATGCGAGCGCATATGTCATGCAACAAGCTGTCGAGCAACTCACGGGCATCGCAGACATCTCTGTTGCAAAAGACATAGCCAACGAAGTGGACATGGTTCTCCGGCAATGGAGTGTGACGTTCCCATTCCATCCTACTGATCGGCCTCTCTTAATTCCAGAGGCAAATGATCTTTATGGCAGTCAGCCCACTTTTGATCAAACAGTCCGGGTTGCAAATCGCTCTCAATTGTTGGGAGGTCAGATTCGTGTGAAATATGGCAGCAGCAATTACATCCCATTGGCATACAACGCATCAGCAGCAGAGATGAAGAATGCTCTTGAGTCTATGGCTGGCATCGGTCTTGGATCCCTGAAAGTGGAGAGGAGCTCTGAAGGAGAACCGGAGTATGTGATTATATGGACAATCACATTCGTTGGTGAAAAGCTACCCGCCGATCCCTCACTCATTGTTGTTGATAGATCACTCTTGACTGGATCCGGCGTGCAAGTCAGTGTCACAGAGGTTGTCAAGGGGTCATATGATCGATTTGTCGGGCCTCTCACAGCAGACTACCTCCGAGTTCCAGTGGTTGATCCTATGCAGATCGATGTCATTGTCAATGGCATTGTGGGTGTGTGCAGGTAGTCTCCTAACATCAGCCTAGTCCAAGCTGTGACCACCCGGCTGCTTCCCCAGCCCTTCCCCCCAATTTGAGTGGACATCCAATGGACTGCGTATTCTGTCATTACCAGTCAGCTTCCCGACTCCCGGGCAGTAATTAAAATTTTGAAAATTTGAAGCTTTCTGTGCTTCGCTGCACACCCGTTTTTTTCTTTTGAAACAAGTGCGGCAGTGACACTATTTGAAACTGTAAAGTCAAACAAAAACTGGAATGGGCGAAAAGAGCGGCCACACTCGAAAGGGCGATGGAACTGCCACGCGCCGCCGTTGGTAATTTTTCATTCGTTTTCTTTCCCCGTCTGACAACACAGCAGACCCCTGTAGTTATGACACCCGGCCTCGACCACAGCACGCAGTGCTTTCATCGCCCTTTCGCGTTTGGCGGCCATTGCTTTTGCCCGTTTGTGTTTTATGACACAAACGGACTTACCTCTTTTCGTTTTGAGTTTTTCTGACTTTTTCAAGGTTTTTGAGCAGTCTGTGGCCATTTGGTAGCAACCTTTTTTTTTTTTTTTTTTCCGAGGGCTCCATCTATTGGTGGGGAGCAGAACCTGCTGGAAACAGGGTCCAGCATCCCAATTGGATACAAAGATGACACAATGATTGTCCATGACCCTTGCCTACAGATGTTGAACAGAATCACTGTGAGCCGCAGACACCACATTGGTGTTCGACAGGCAAGACTCTGTCACATTGAACATTTACGAACACAGTTGGATAGCTACAGGAGAATATCAGCTTTTTATACTCCTTGAAAACGGGTCCAGCATCCCTGAACGGCACAGTGACATAAACAGGCCTGTAGTTCCCGACAGCACTGATTCCCCTGCGAGACCTCAGGGGATTGACCGTCCAGGCTCTAAGAATTGGCCATATTGACAAATTCCCAGCATGTTATAATCTCGGTAATGGTCCCAGCATTTCCGGGTTGAGATGCTGAGGCAGTAAGGGATTGGCCATTTTGGCAAATGCTGTTAAGAGGAAAGGTAAAGAACCCAACGGAACAATAAAGAAAGACGATAAGATGGACAAGAAAGGGGGGAAACTGATGCAGAATGCCATGAAGGACAAGGGAACAAAGAAAGAGGCAAGTCCAAGCACTCTTACAGAGTCCCAATGTTATGTGCCTGATTGAAACGAGATCCAACATGGCATCCACACATTCCCATACACGTGCAATGACAAGTGACCTTTGGAGGGAGCAATCCACACCACACCGGATGATAAGAATACACAGTGGAAGAACACAAAATCAATTCTAATTACCGTCTCTCCCTAAGTCAATCAACAGCACAAATTTCCAGGGATCCCAACCACGTTATCAACACCCACGGACCAATTATTTCCAAGGTTTCATCGAAGTATCTGGGAGTCTTCTTCTTCCTCCCTCTTCCTCAAGCTCAAGCTATGGTGCTTGCACGTACCCAACCTATCAAGCCTGCCAATCGCCGGACACCCTCCTAAATCCAACACCCCTCTCTGCACCACTCAAGAAGCCCACTGCAGATGAAGTGTCCACTCAGCAGGGGAGTGCCGCTCCCAGGATGATATATAAGAACAGCAACTCGATGAAGATGAAGATCTGCCACGTAGAAGAACCGCTGAAAGTGCAGCTTCGGTGGCAGCTGACCAAACCCCAACAAGCACACGAATATGAGGAAGCGCTCATCAGGACTTGGGGTGTCAAGCCCAGAGCTCTCACCAGTCGAGCTGGACGGCCCGAGCTATGGGGGCCAGCGGCATGTGGAGAAGATGCCCTGTTACATGCCCACAATAGCGCAGCAGGGAAGCAACGCGACCTCCACCAAGACCGTGAAAAGACAATCAACGAAAAGAACCAAAAGAACCCGTTCTCCTTTGCCCCCGACAATTTTGTAGACTTAGGTTTTGACTGACTTGACTCAGCCTACAGCCTAGGTCCGACAGCCAACAGCCCAGCACCGAATCTAGACTAGAAACTGGAAAGAAGGGATGACAGCAAAGGGCCTACAACTCGTGTACAGAAAAAGACAAAACGGAAAGGCCTAGTGGTCTAAGACTAGGCTACAGAGACTATTACAGTCAGGTCTAGGGATCAAGCCCAGTAGGGCTCACACAAAGAAACACAACCACAACCCTACAGGTTGCGGGATCGAGTCCTAAAGAGCTCAAGAACATACAACAGCAAATAAATCCAAAAAAAAACAAACTGCCAAAAGGCCTGGGATTGAGTCCCGGCACAGACAAAATAATGAAACACTCACCAAACTGGCAGATCCAGGGATCAAAACCTGCCATGCTCACAACTACAAAACCCACAAGACATACGACTTAGTATACAGCCCCACTGGGAAACTGCGATTTATTGCATTCTTACCCTCCCGGGGAGCGACGACCCTCGAGCATAACCAACTACCAGCCCAATTGGAAGAGAGCTATTAGCTCTAGGATCACAAGACTTCCATAGTTGTGGAGAATGCAATGATCTGAGAATCTTAGAGGGATGGGGTGAGGTAATCAGGGTGAATGGATAGTTGAGTGCGAGGGCATTAGCCAGGTAGTCAATTTCTAGACAACCAACCACTTCTGAAAACCTATTGGTTGTTGCCCAGATTCTCAGTCAGTGATGGCTAGCTGAATGCAAGAGTATTAGACCGATAATCAGCTTATAGGTAGCCAACAACTCCTGGAAATCTGATTGTTGGTCCTCAGATTAACAGCAAGGGTTAGCGAGTTGAATGCAAGGGTACTAAGAACTACTAACCTAGTAATCAACTTTGCTGTAACCAATTGACTCTGGAAATTCGATTAGTTTCTGTCTGGAGTGCATACCAGTTAGACTCCGCAATTGTTGATCTGTGTATTTACAAGCACAACATACAGGTTCTTCCCTAAAATGGGGTACGATCTGACTAGAACTGCATATGTGACAGGGCTTATAAGTGCCAAGTCATCATACTCGGTAATGATGCTTAAAATACAGAATCATCTGTAGGGTAGGTCTATCTGAATAAGGTTGTTAGTCACAAACAGATCTTAATACCGGTCCAACAGTTTGAAACAATCCTGGGACAAAGCCCAGGGGATAAAAAGAACTCGCAGCTCTACAGGTAAAGTTCAGAACTTTGTCAGTACTCGTGTGCAACCACAAGAAAGAACAAGGATCTGACTTTTACCTGTAAGGGTAGTCAATCGCAACTATGTGTGAGGATTTTTTTTCTTTTTTTCTTTTTTTCTTTAATGTGTGTGTCGCATACCGTAAAGGTGCAGACCAGAACAAGAACCGATCTCTCTCACATAGTACAAGATAACGCAGTGGAAGGCTAATATACCAGTGATCCGAACAATCAATGTTGCAATGCAGCCCAAACATACATCATCATCATTCCATGGTGTGAAGGGGCCTGGCGCTCACACAGGAAGAATGCGCCAGTCCCCAACCATACACAGACGAAGAAGAGGGGGGTTAGACGAAGAAAAGGGAAAGATCGGAATGTCGTCAACACCAAGCTTTCGGTACACGTCCCAAATAATCCCTCGTCCAACGTCTCAATCCCAATGTAGAGTCTGGATCCAAATGTCGTCAAGTCCCAAATTCACCAATCTCTCTCTCTCTCTTAGTCTGACACGGTTTTCACCTTTTAGCAGTAGCGGATGCAGTACCCAGGGTTCGATCCCTAGACCTCACCCTACCTATGTACAGTATCTGTATAGATCCCGAGAATTGAACCTGYGACCTGTGTATTCGCAGATAGTTGGTAGGTCTGTCGTAGGTCCATAGGCAGCAGGGGTTCGATCTGTAGGTCTATAGCGTAGAAGTCGTAGTGAGTTCCGGAAGCTTAGCTGTAGACCTTCTAGAAKGTAGGCAAGTGGGCAAGTGGTCAAGTGGYGAGGCAAGTGGTGGACTAAACCGCAGTGCAACAGCAGTACAACRTCGGTAGGATAGCGGGGAGTCCACAGTCAGTCAGYGGAAGGTCCAGTCAGTCCCAGTCCGGTCCAGCAAGTACCACGGGGGGGACTGTGAGCACCAAGGGCCGATGGCAAAGGGCAGACCAACGAGTTTCTGAAGTATAAATCAAGAGGCAGCGCCAGCCATTCATTCATTCCTGCGTGAG